CCAGCTCACTCAATTGGGTTTGCAGCAATTACCAAAAAGACCATGGCTTCAACAAGAACAGGTCGCATCAGACCCACCTCGTTTTCCTTTTTCTGTAGGATTACTAAACTAGACAAGAGAATTGTTGACATAGTTTACATAGATTTTAGCAAAGCTTTTGATAAGGTATTTGAGACCCTTCTTGTGCAGATGATGGAAAGAAATAGGAATCACAAAAAGAAAAAGTTCTATATGTACACAAACATTTATAGCAGCTCTTTAATGGTGGCAAAGAACTGGAAATTGAGGGGATGCCCATCAATTGGGGAACGGCTAAACAAGTTGTGGTATATGAATGTCATGGAATACTATTGTGCTATAAGAAATGATGAGCAGGCAGACTTCAGAAAAACCTGGAAAGACTTGTATGGTCTGATGCTGAGTGAAGTGTGCAGAACCAGGAGGACATCGTACCCAATAACAGCAATATTGTACTATGATCAGTTGCGAAGGACTTAGCTCCTCTGATGAGGACAGTGACCCCAGACGATTCCAAAGGACTCATGATGAAAAATGGTCTCCACTTCCAGAGACAGAACTGAAGAACTCTTAGTGCAGATAGAAGCATATTTTTTAAAATCTATTTTTTCTCGGGTTTTAATCTGTATTTTCTTTTGCAACACGGCTAACGTGGAAATATGTTTTGCATGATTTCACATATATAATCGATATCAAATTACTTGCCTTCTCAAGGATGGGGGAGGGGTAGGAGGGAGAGAATTTGGAACTCACAATTTTTAAAAATGTTAAAAAAATTTTGCATGTAATTAGGAAATAATGAAATAAATAAAAAGTATTTAAAAAAAAAACAGGAATCAATAAACCAAACATAAGGAGCCCTGCAGGCCACATATCAACTTAGTTTAAAAATGTAATTTTTTCTATCGTATTGTATTTATTTAATATTTCCCAATCAGAGTTTAATCTGGGTTGGGCAACACTGGGGAATCTGGTGGGCACATGTGACTAGTAGCTCTGGGTTTGACCCTTCTTGATTAGACCATAATTAGAAGAGGGAGCATTTACATAATGCTTTAAGGTTTTCATAGTACTTGAGGAATATCTTCTTCATGCTATCCTCACAACAGCCCTCGGAGGTAGGTGCTATTATTATCCTTATTTTACATATGAGGAAAAGGTAAGTGACTAGTCCAGGATCACACAGCTAGCTAGTAAGTGTCTGAGTCCAGATTTGAACCCAGGTCTTCCTGAATCCAGTTCTGGCACTCAATCACTGCCTTCAGTATAACCAGATGATTCAGACATGATTGTATGATGAGAATCTATTGTCATTATGATTCAATGTCAAAGTGGCAAAAGATGGATGAAGCCATGAATGGTCTGTCTACTCAAATTCACAGACAACACAAAGTTGAGATGGAAAACTAATACAGATGATGATGGGATAAAAGGATCTCAATGAGCTAACATTGGACTGACTCTAATAAGATAAAATTCAATTGGGATAGATGTAAAAAAATCAAGTAAAAACAGCAATTCTTTGAAAAAGATCTGGAGGTCTTACAGGAGAGAATGTTCAATACATTAGCAGTGTGATGTGGTTGCCAAAAAAAAATTTTTTAAAGGTGATGAAATCTTGGGCTGTGTGGAAGAGCATGGCTTCTGGGAAGAGGAAGGTTATCCACAGCTCGATGGTTCTCCATCCTTATCACACCTCACCCCAAGTATAGCGATAAGTCCTGCACACCACAATCTAAGGATGCTGATAAGCTGGGGTGGAGGTAGGGTGTCCAAGACCTCCACCCCAGCTTATCAGTGTCCATTGAGCCCATGGGATAGGAAAGTTATTTGAGGGAACTGGGTTGGTTTAGCCTTTAGAAAAGAATCAGGGAGAGGGAATGATGGCTATGTTAGGGTATCTGGAGGCCTGTCATGGAGAAAAGCAGATAGATTTGTTCCCTTTGGTCCTAGAGGCAGAACTGGAAGCAACAGTCAGAAGTTACAAAGAGACAGACTGATGCTTGATGGCAAAGAAAAACTTCCTAATAATTAGCTGGCCAAAGTGGAATGCAAAGAAGCATGGACTGGTAGCAGGTTCTCCCTCCTTGGGGAGGTCTATAAGGTGAAGCTGAATGACCCGTCTGGCAAGTGTTAGAGGGGGTTCTTTGCCTCTATTAGTTGGAATGGATAGCAGTGAGCACACACAACTCCAGAAGACTGACGCTGCATGAATGAGACATATATTACCAGGCACAGCCAGTGTGTGGCCCTGACTTGCTCAACTCATTTTTTGTGAGCGTTGGCAGTTTTCTTTGGTGGGGAGGGAAGAATGTAGGGGATAGTGAGTAAGAGTGAGAGAGAGAGAGAGAGAGAGAGAGAGAGAGAGAGAGAGAGAGAGGGAGAGAGGTAGTAGTGAAACATTTAAACACAAGAGAGAAGGAAATTCAGAAAGGGACACAAAAAAATAAAGCAGTGTTACTACTACCATGTTCAATTTAATGCATACTTTAAAAAAACTTGTAGGAAACAGATTCATGGTTACACATTAAAAAAAAAAAAGTTTTCAATGAGCTCTACTCCTACTTCCTGAAGATAAAACAGCTTCTGCTGAACCAAGCCTGCATTCCTATCTTGAGATCATCCATGATGAGCAGCCATCTAATCCACCGTTGGAGCAGAAGAAAGGTCAGCGTCTGACCGGCGCTCTCTTTGCACCAGCTCACCGTGATCTCTGGTCTGCTCAATGTCTTTCCAAGCGGAATGAATGGTTCCATGGTTCCATTTCTAAGCAGATTTTCAGTATGCTGTTTCTAATGAGTCTGGGCTTACTCCTGGGGCCCATGCATGAGATGTTCTGAACATTCTGAAATTGGATTTTCCTGTGTGAGCTCACTTTCTGTTTATGATCCAACGGGTTTTGTCCCCCTCAAGACTGGGGAGGTAATTCTCAGCTTCCAATGGCATAACCTATCTTTACTCACTTATGCAACCGGTAGATCCTAAACTGAGGGTGGAATTCTTTTAAAGAAATGTAAAAAGGAGAGGTCAAAGAAATTTTAAAATTCACGTGGAAGGAAACATTTTAAAGTCTCCAAATTTGCAAAACTGTGAATCCCTAAGGTATTCCTCCCCCTTGTTAAAGCTCACTGGGCTTTCCAGGTAGGGCAGTGTTGGAAGTTCTTTTAGCACTGGCAGGTATGGCTGTTTCAAAGTGCTATCACAGAGCAGCGTGGGGGCAGCTGAGTGGCAGTGGATAGACCACTAGGTTGGCAATCGGGAAAATCCGAGTTCAAATCCGACCTCAGACCCCGTTTGCCTCAGTTTCCTCATCCGGAAATGACCAACCGTCCAGCCTCTTTGCCGAGAAAACCCCAAACTGGGTGAGGGAGAGTCGGGCAGGGCCGAAACGACTCCGGTCCCCAGAACAAATCATAGAGCAGTGAGGAAGTCTAGCTGACCCCCCGCCCCACCAGGCACGGGACATTTTTGACCACCAGGGGGCAGTCGAAGCTCAGCTGGCCAGGCTCGCATCACCACCTTTCACCGGGGGTAGAGCAAACATCGTTCCTGAATCTTGGCTGATTTTGGCTCTGTCCCCCTAGATCCTCATCCCTCGCTCCCCTTTCAATCGAGGCCCCCCCCAGTTACTCCCATTTGGAGTAGTAACCACATAGGCCTCAGCGACCCGAGCTTCCGTAGGGAGGGAGGGCCTGGCGCACCTCGGCAAAGGAGCATTCTGGATTCAGGGGCTGGAGGGGGGAGAGGGAGGAGGAGGCAGTGCCCCCCATCTGCTCCCAGAACAATCTCCGTTCAAGGCAGATGGGCGAGGGGGGGTGCAAAGAAAAGGAATCCGTCCACCCCACCCATCTCTTCAGCCCTCCCCCTTCTGTACGAGCCCCGGTACAGAAGCGATGCATTTGGAGCTGATCCAACACCGGACAAGGGAAGGGGCTCAGCAGGAGCCTGGATTCTGGGGGGCCGGGGGCCTTTCCTTCTCGGCGCCGTGTCCGAGGAGCTCTCTACGTGGAATTAGAAGGAAAGAAAGAAAGGCCGCTTCCTCCAAGAAGCTGGCCAGGATCGCCCGTGAGAAAGGGCGACCGACCGTCTTCTCTCAGGGACGTAGAGGAAGGAAAGCTACGCGGTCGGCTCTGGACCGTGGCCCCCACGCGTGCACTTCCCCCAGGAAAAGCACAAGAATAGGCGGACGGTGGCCGGGACGGTAGCGAAGGGGGATGGGGGAGAGGGAGTAGAACACGTGAAGCAAATTTGCCGATCGCTACGGCGAATCGAAGTGGGTACGGTGGCCGGGAAGGCACTGCGCGCCGTTTGCAGGTCTCGTCGGGCGGGGGCGTGGCCGAAGGCGAGGTTCGACGGTGGCCGCGAAGGGACCAACCGCCTGGGGGGTGGGGAGAGGAACCGCGACGAAGGTAAATGGTCGTGACCAACGAAGGGGGCGTAGCTCAGGGCGCCGTTGGACGGTGGCTGAGGAGGGACCTGGCCGACCGGAGGGTGGGCCGCGGTTCTCGCTGGAAGGAAGCGGGGGTGTGGCGGATGGGCAGGTTAGAGGCTGGGGCCCGGGAAAGGATCTGCCCCTTTCCGGGGGCGGGGAAGGAGGCGGGGAGCGAGGCGGGGAGAGCGGCTGACAGCGGTCGGGGGCGTGGCCGAAGGGGGCGTGGCCGAAGGGGGGGGGGGGGGGGGGGGGGCGGGGGGGGGGGGGGGCCGTCGGGCGGACGAGAGAAAACCGGGCCTCGGAAATGAGGGGTCGACGAAAGGGTGCCTGACAAAGGGGGACTCGGGTGGCGGCCGGCAGCGGCCGTGGCCCCCGGGTGCCAGGGAGCGGCCTTCGAAGAGAACGCGCTCGCGCTGGGCGGCAGGACTCGGAGCCGGGTACGGTGGCCCGTTGGACCTCACTACGGGTGCCGGCAGCCCCCGGGCTGTTCTCGCGAGACCGGGCGCGGCGGGGCGGGGCCTGTGGGGGGGCGGGGACACGGAGCAGGAAGATGGCGGCTGCGCAGGGGGCGGACGGGAGCCCGAGCGAAGTGGCGGCCGCGGCGACGGTGACCGGAGGCGGCTCTGGGCAGGTAGGCGGCCGGGCCGGCGGGCGGGAGGAGAGCAGACGGCTCCGACGGCGGCGGCACGGGCCGGCGCGGCACAGCGCGGTCTCCCCGGCGGGGCCCTTCCCGCGCCGGGCCCGAGCCCCGTGGCGGCCCGTCGGACCCCCTACCGATGCCCCTCCCGGGGTGCCCCCCCCCCGCTGCGCCGAGGGGCCCCTCCCTCCCGCCTGGCTGTGGCTCCCACCTGCTCCCCGGCCCAGGCCGGCTCCTGATCGTCCCGAGCGTCCTGGCCCGAGGGCTTCCGTGGCTTGCCGCCCCCGCCGCCCCCCACCTACCTCGCGGCCCCCTCCCCCCCCCGTGGGCTGCTGCCCACTGGGGGAAGGGGCACCTTTTCTCGAAAAATTTCTTCTGTCCCTTCGTCTGTCCAGGCCTAGTCAGCCTTTGACCCCAAGGAAGCCCCGAGCCCTCCCTCGACCTTCTCCGCCGTCCCCCTCCCAATCTAACTCATTTGTCCCCGCGGGGTCCAATCTTGTGTCTGCGCCGCCCCTGGAGCACGTGTGATGACTGGACACACCGGGAGGGCGACGGTGGCGGACAGATAGGTGGGCAGGCGGACAGGCGGACAGGGCTCCCTCCGAGCCTGTCTGCCCCGTACTGCAGGCGTTCACAGATGAGGAAACTGAGGCTCAGAGGGGTCAGCAGTGAGGGCGGCTCCGGGCTCGCCCTGGTTCAAAGTCCAGCATTCCTCCCCGTGGCTCCCTCCCTCTGCCCCGGCGCCCTGCTGCTGAGGCTCGCCTCCTTCCCATCCCCCATGTCGTCCACGGGGTCTCCTCTGGCCCCCCGACAGGCTTCCCAAGCGGGGTAGATGCTTTGGGGGCACGCTGGACCCCTCCTCAGATCCTTGCCTTTCTCTCACACTCGCCCTCTTGCCCGTCCTGGGGCGTCTTCCCTGTTTGCAGGGTTCCTACCCTGATCCTGGCTCTGGGAGGCCTTCTTCAAGTGCCCTCTGTGATGCCCCCTCCAAGGGACACGGTTTTGCAGCTGCCCCCTACCCCCACCCCACCACACTCACACCCTCATCTGTAGGAGCCCAGCTCCCCCCTTTTCTGAGTCTTTTTGCCCCTATTTTAAAGGCTGGGGATTCCCCCGCTTTCCCCCTCCTCCCTGGTGAGTGAGAGCCTGCCCTAATGAAGACAGCAGCCTCTCCAGCGTGGTTCCCAGCCACGTGGGGATGGAGGGTCCCCAGGGCTCAAGCCCTGGCTGCTTTTAGACCCCAGCATTTAGAACTGGGGGGGGAACTTTGGTATTTTTCTGCCCCCTCAATTTACAGTTGGGGGAAACTGAGGTCCGGAGTGAGGAACACACTTGGCTAAGGGCAACTCTGGTGTCAGTGATTTTTTCCCCACCTCAGGTCCTGTATGTTTGCTCTTGTCGTTCTGCCATGTGACAGCCAGCCAAACTTAGCTGACCCTAAGTCCTGTGGGCCCAGCTCTGTGCAGGGGGGCTCAGTCTGTGCCCAAGCAGGAGGGGCAGTTCCCTGTCTGGGGAGACAGAGCTGGGAGGGTGAATGGGGAGGGACGGATGGAGAGAGACAAGGGGAGACAGGAGAGAGAACACAAGCCTCCTGGGGCCTAAGCTGAGCCTTGGAAGAGTGGGGAGGACACTGGTGTCTGGAAGAAGAGGGACCTTGGGGTCAAGCCTTGTCAAGGGGAAGAGCAAGGCTTTGGAAGCCTCGAATGCCCAGTTGATGAATGTCACTAGAATCGTGTGGACTCAAGTCAGCCAGGGCAGCTTCCTGAAGCAGGGCAGAAGTTGGGAGGGGTGGGGGGGAACTAACATGGGGCATCAGGAGAGTGCAGAGCTCCGCCCCCATCCTTGCTGGTTTGGATTTGCCATGGCCTGGCCACTGTTGCTCAGCCTGGTCAGGGCTTTCTTCTTGGCAGCCAAGCACCTGCCACCCCGGTCCCAGAAACCAGCAGTCATGCACAGACACTTTGTGCCGTGGAAGCTGCCTTGAGATACCTCTCCAGGCCAGATGTGGAGTGGACATAGCCCTGGACTTGACTGGTGGTTGTGGACAGATGAGTCAGTGACATGCTGGGGCCGCCGCTGCTTGTGCTCTAGAGGAGGGGGGGGGGGCCTCCCGTGCTCCCCGGGGGCTGGAGAAAAGGGATGTACCCCCCCCCCCCCAGACGGCCTGCAGTCTGGCCTTCACATGTGATACGTGGGGAAGCAGGCCCCACAAGCTGGAGGGACTTGCCCAAGGTCATGCGCCTCATGGCCAGGCCCCTCACTTTACTCATAGGGAAACTGAGGCCTAGAGAGTGCCCTGCCCAAGGTCCTCAAGTGAGTGAGTGGGTCCTGAGCCCAGGGCACTGCCCTCCATTCTTGTGATGCCTCTAGCAATGGCTTGGAGAGTGTGAGCAATCTGCCTCTTGTGGGTCAGTCTTCCTTTCTCTGTTCTCATGCACAGGAGGGGAAGCGGGAAAGCCCCAAGGACTGCCCTGCGGGCAAGGGTTATGGGGGCTCTCGCTTTTGTGGGGAGGTAGTGCCCAGGGCCAGTGCTGAGAGATCTGGGGGGGAGGGAAGAACCCTGGAGGCTGGAGCAGGTAGACATGACTTTCTGAATGGGTTGGGATCCCGAATCTGGCAGGAGCTCCAGCTGGACCTAAGCTGGGAGAGAATCCTGAAGCCTGGGGGGGTCTGGAAGGAGGTGGGCCTGTTTCAGACCACAGCCTTCCCTCCAGCCCAGAAATAACAAAGCATCATGGGAGCAGAATGCAGGATGGTGACAGCTGTGGGTGTGTCAGGCTGGGGGCAGAAGGAGGAAGAGGGCTGGGCCCAAGGGCCTTGAGAGGGGCTGTGCTCCTGCCCATCCCCAGCTGGTCTGCAAGGGAACGCCCTCCCTCAGGTTTCTCTGGACAATGGGAAAGGATTTTCTTGTAGAAATTTTTTTTTTTTTAATTTCAGTTCAGAAACAGTTTTTCAAATGTCGCTGAATGAGAGAAAGAGCAGATGAGGGTTGGGAAGCCAAGCTCTGCTGATGACTGGGTGGGTGACCTTGCACAAATCCCCACCTTCCCCCAGGCCTCAGTGGGTCTGTCCGACAAAGGACAGCTTTGACCTGTTGTAAGCATGAAGATGGTGACCACCCAGCTTTTGCAGTCTGGACACCAGGCTAGCCTGGGGAGGCCTGAGCACATCTTGGGCTCCTTAGCCTCGAATTCACATGTTGCCTGGGTGACCTTGAGAAAGTCATTTCCCTTCACACTTGGCTTTGGCTCTTTGGGTCAAGGGAGAGGCAGGCTCACTGATCTCTCCCAGGAGCCCACCATATCCCACCGCTCCCGTGCTGGGGCTCCAGGTGGCTCATTCACCCTGCCACAGGCTCTTGGAGCAGGAAGCCTGCTTCCTGCGTGGAAGGGGCCAGCCCTGCTTTGGGCCTGCTCGTGGTGGGGTTGCCTACCTGCAGCGTTGGTCCAGCTGGGGAGTGAGATGGGGGAAGGTAAGACTCCATGAGCCTCAGGACTTGTTCAAGGTCACCACGAAGTCACTGGGTGTCAGGGCTCATGGGTCAGTCCTTCCCTTTTAGAGAAGAAACAGGCAGTGTGGTAGCACAGGGGCAGTGGTCTTGGCTTGGGTTTTGAGGCCCTTCCCCTCCCTGGGCCTCAGTTTTCACATCTGTAAAATGAGAATTAGGCTAGAGGCTCTCTAAATCCTGTGAGCCTGAGACCAGAGAAAGGACCTGGTCAACGTTGCCCTGCTGGGCCACCGGAATGTCTCTGGGGGTTGGGGCAGAAGGGGCAGGGCCTCCCTGCAGGTCACTGGGGGAGTAGGGCAGAGGCAGGGTGTAGATCTGCTGCCTTCCCATGAATTGTGTGAATGAAATGAGCCCAAGGTGGTGGTGATTGATTGTCCGAGGGCTACAGAGCCTTGGGAGATGCCTGGGGTCCCTCCCTTCTAGCAGACTGGAGCTGGGGGAGGGGTGGAAGCAGTGCTCGCCAGTGAAAGGGGGCCCCACCTGGCCCTGGAGAGCTCAGGCTTCAGCCACCCAGATGAAGAAGACCCAGGCAGCGCTTCTCTGCTCCTGGTGCCTCAGTTTCCTTAGCTGTGAGATGCAGATAGTAATAACGAGAGATAAATAGCTTCCCTGCAGATAACTCTGGTCTGGTTTTGTTCTATTCTCCGCCCTCCTAACCCGAGGCAGAGGCAGGAATGCCCCTGACACACACAGCCCCCACAAGGTGCTGCACCTCTCGGCACTCTGGCCCTCTTGGAGAGCATGCAGGCACCGACCTGGGCCGGCAGAGCTTTCTTAGGCCTCTGCCTGCTAATGCAGGGGGTTGTCTGGAGAGAGGCTGGACTGAAGATCACAGCCCTTGGCCAGGGCCCATGGGGAGGCTAGCTGGGGCACCCCAGGCCAAAGTTCCCTGTCCATCCTGATCCCTTGGATCTCTTCCTGGCTCCCCACAGGTGACCAGCAATGGCAGTGTCGGAGGAGACACACCCACGGAGACCCAGCAACAGAACCGAGCCCCGCAGGCTGCTCCAAACGCCTGGCAAGTCATCAAAGGCGTACTGTTCAGGTAAGGAGCCTCCTGGCCGATGAGCCAGCTTCCTGGAGCCCAGCGGGTGCCTCAGCAGGGATTGTCTGGGACGGTGTGACGGGAGCTCGCTCCCTCCTGTGGGGCCCCATCACCCCTCACCCTGGGAACACCTCCAGGCAGCTGGCCTCCCATGCCCCTGGCAGCGCTGCAGCCCTCACCCGAGGTGGGGCCGAGCTGCACACAGGCTTCCAGCTGGCCTTTTGGCCGGGCAGTGCCCAGGGCGTCTCCACCTCCATTGCTCAGGGTGCTTGGCCTGGATTAGTGCAACCCAAGGGACTTCGCATTTTTAACACCTCGTCCCCATCTTGACTAGGGCTGTTCACAATCTTTGGTGTCCTTGTCTCGGCATTCGCCCACCTCACGTGGTCTAGCCGGTCAGCAAGGGTGGTTCTGGTGCCTGCTGTGTGCCAGAGCAGCCCGTGCCCTCATGGAGCTCGCAGGGAGTCCAGAAGGGCTTCTTGTAGGAGGCGGTGCCAGGGGCCCAGGCCTGGAGGAAAGACTGGATTCCTTGTGGACTTGGGGAGGGTGGCCAGGGCCCAGCTGGTGAGGAGCCTCCTGGAAGTGATAGAGAACCACCGCAGTTTGGTGATCCGGGGGAGGGAGCGGGGCCGTGGGGGGCCGGAGCAGAGGCTCTTCTCTGAGTTGTGCTGGGGGCTTCTTCTCCGAATAAATGACCTCGTAAAGAACTGAAGGAAGAGAGGCCGGGGCAGGTCCAGCTGTGCTTGGTTTCCCAGGCAGAGGCTAGTCCAGAATCCCTGACCCGCCGACAAGGCGATGCCCAGGAGTGTATCAGTCCTGGCGGGAAGGCGTGAGGACCGGGGTTAGGGTGTGACCCCGTGTGGAGCGGGAGCAGACAGACAGCCTTCGTGGCGTGGTGTGGAGACCAGCGCCAAGACCAGCCCACATGGGGGGTCACCGACCGATGCCCCTGAGGCCGCCATCCTAGGGGTTGGAGACCTTATCTGCACAGAGACACTGACTGAACGGGGGAGGGGGGGAGCTCTGGGGAAAACAGGACTGGGGGTGTTTGGGTGAGACCAGGTTGGCCCAGATCTCTAAAAGGAGCTAAGACGATGTGTGTGCGCGCTCATCCGCAAATAGCGTCAGAGCCAGGCTTGGAGGGGATCTGGTATGTCGAGTCACAGAAGGTTAGAAGCAGGCAGATCCTGGGCTCATGGGCTTCAGAAGGGGCCTTCGGGAATATCTCGTCCTGGCCCCTGTTGTGGGTTTTTGGAAACTGAGGCCTGGAGCACGGCCCTGGGATTGCACACGGCCCTTGACTGGAGCGGGGCTCTTATGTAGGACGCTAGCGCCGGGCACAGTCTATGGCTGCCTTGAGATCAGCAGTGGCTTAGGGAAGGGTTAGGCTCCATCCCCTCAGACAGGCCAGGAGACACTGAGGGGCAGCAGAGGACCAGACTCCCAGTCAGACCCCCCAGGGTCTTTCCTCTCTGTCACATGCCCATTCCTTGCAGTGGGCGGGACCTCCTCCTCCAGCTGCCTGCTGCCTCTGTCTGGGCACTGCCCTGTGCATGCCACCAGGCCAGAGGGAGTGTTTGTGGAGCACGCAAGGAACGCCCAGGTCCCACGTGACTTGGGGAACCAGCCCTCTCATTTGGGGCAGGTGGGGATCGCAGAGGGGATAGCGTGGCTTCTTAAGGAGCACCTGAAGGGGCAGCTAGGTGGTGCAGTGTGTAGAGCACCAGCTCTGAAGTCAGGAGGATCTGAGTTCGAGTCTGCCCTCAGACCAAACACTTGACATTTACTCTCACTAGCTGTGTGACCCTGAGCAAGTCACTTAACCCCAATTGCCTTAAAAAAAAAAAGACAGTGGGCAAGTCAAGGGCAGCTAGGTGGCGCAGTGAATAGAGCTCTGGCCTTGGAGTCAGGAGGACATGAGTTCAAATCCAGCCTCAGACACTTAACACTTACTAGCTATGTGACCTCACATGTTACAGAGGGAGGGAGGATTTATAGAGCACCTACTGTGTGCCAGGCACTGGGCTCAACACTTTACAGATGTTCCTCATTTAATCCTCAACCCTGAGAGGTAGGGGCTGAAACGATTCCCATTTAACAGATGAGGAAACTGAGGCAGGCAGCTGTGAAGTGACTTGCCCAGGGTCACACAACTTGCAAGTGTTGGAGGCTGGCTTTGGACTTGGGTCTTCTTGACCCCAGGCCTGGTGCTCTGACAAGGGCCAAGAACTCAGGGAAAAGACTTGGCCAAATCACGGGGGAGGCTCGTGGCAGCCTCCGCTGGGGCCTTAACTCTGTCCGCTTGCTCCATTGCCTTCCACGATGCTGTGGCCGAGGAGCAGAGGTAGCTCAGGCCTGTCTGCACCTCTTTCCTCCTCTTGAACACAGAAAGAGCATCCTTTGATGGGCAGGAGCAACCCTGGGCTGGCCTCCATCGCCAGCCTGAAGAGTGAGCAGGTCCCGCCTCTTCTTTCTGTAAAATCTTGGACGAGTCCTGTTTCCAGATTCCCGGTGAAGTTCTTAGTTCTAAGATTCAGTCAGTACGTACTGAGAGCCCCCAGGGTGCAAGGTCTCCAGGGTGCGAGGCCCCCAGAGTGTGGAGCCCCATGCTCTTGGCAGTGGCTCATGGTTCCTGTCCCCTGGGAGCTTACATCTAATGGGGGGACAAGACAGACAGGGATAAGGGTCAGAGCTGGCATCCCATGCCATGTCACGCTGGATTACATGAGAGATGCCCTCAGAGGCCGTCAGAGAAAGTCAGGACAACTGGAAAGCCTTGGGAGCAGTCATTACAATAGTCCAGCAGGCAGCACAGAGGGGGCAGTGGGGAAATTCAGCCGAGCCCTGTGATGGGTACCCACGATATGGAGGAAAGCCCCACCTGGGGGCAAAAGTGTGGACAAATTGAAAAACCAGTGCTGTGGGGAATTGGAGGGGTGAGAGATCCCTCTTGCTTGGAGTGGGGGCTGGGGTTAAGAAAGTCTGCCCAGATGAGAAAGCATCAGAGCTGGGCTGTGAAGGAAGGAGGAGATTTGGGGGGCTGCGGGGGCGTCCGAAGCAGGCACAGAGAGGAGAGGAGGGGGCTGGGGCCAGGGTGGTGAGCAATCTAGTACCTGACAAAAAGTGATGGGCACAAAGGCTGATAAGGTTGGTGTGAGCCTCAGTTTTCCCAGTCATAAAATGGTCAGGTTCCTGTGATTCTGTGAAGAGGAGGGGCCTCAAGCTGAGCAGGGACCTTGCTAGGAAGGGCTGCAGGGTCTGAGGGATGGGTCACGGGGGAGGCTGAGGTTCTGAGACGGGAGCCGTGAGGACAGGATGGGGAGAGCTGGAGGGAGGAGCCTGGGCCAGTGGAGGGCCTGGGCTGGGAGCCTTCCTCTCTGCCCACGGTGGCATTCTCTGCTGTAGAACTGCAAGGTACTCTCGCCTTCCCAGCCTCACGGCAAGGAAAGCCCCAGAACAGGACAGGCTGCCGAGGGCCCTCCCTTGCTTGGCTGATTGTCACGGTTGGGCTTCCCTGGGGGCCGTCCCCACCGGGGCTCGGCCTGCACCGTCTCCAGGCTCCAGTGTCCTGGGCTTCTGGCTTTTCCCGTCTGTGCCCATAACCCTGAAGGGGCCTCCGGCCGGTCCTCTCACCCACCGAGCGTCAGGTTTTTCCATCTGCCCCCTGACCCCTTGGCCACCCTCGGTCTTTAAGAGGACGCTCCAGGGCGTGGCCCTCTGCAGGGGCTGGTTTCTCTGGGCCTCGTGGGTGTTGAGGGAAAAGCACCTGGGGAAGTGTCACTCTCTTCTTCTCCCCCTCTTCCTCCTTCCCTCTTCTCCTCTGCTTTCTCTTTCCTCCTGTCTCTGCTTTCAGGGTCAGCCATGCATAATGGAAAGGACTCCTCCAGCCTCTCATTTTATAGAGAAGGAAGGTTAAGTGATTTGCCTGAGGTTATCTCACCCATAAATGTCAGAGGCAGGATTTGCACTCAGGCCCTCACAGCTCTTTGGCATGTACCCCTCCTCGGATTGGAGGGGCGGTTGGGGTACCACCCCAGAGGACTGGATGAGGCTGCCTTTTGGAGCGAGGCAGGGCCTCCCCCGGGAGCAGCCGGCTGCCAGGCCGGGCCCTCCCGAGGCCACGGTCACCAGAAGGCTCCCTCTGAGCAGTAGAGCACCTCGTAAGGCCTGTGGAGATGAGCTGTGAGGCGGGGTAGGGAGACCATCTCTGGTCTAATTCTCTTGAGCCCCCTGGGCCCCCGGCAAGCTGGTCGATGGCAGCAGCGTCAGGGTTCGAGGCCAGGCATCTTGTCACTCTGCGGGGAGGTCCTGGGCTGCGGCCAGCACTGCCCGTGGCCTCTGCAGTCAGCCGGCCGTTGTTTTCCCTCGTTCGGTGCCCAGCCCTGGGGAGCCAAGGACCAAAGCTGGCGAAGCCAAGGCAGGATCAGAACCCAGCACTCTTCTCCAGCCCCCTACACTGACTTCCTCCCTGCCCTCAAATCTACGTTGTTTTTTTTTTAAATTCTTTCTTTCTCTTTTTTCTTTTTTCAAAGCAAAGACATTTAATGAAATAGCATAGTAAGAAACGTAACAATACAACATCCCCTTCATATGTTGGGGACATCCTCTCTCACAAATGCTCACGCCAGCAGAAAGAGTAGACGCACGTAGGGACAATGAACGAGAACACATCTGGAGGGAACACGTGTGGCCAACAGGCCGCTGTGGAGGCATACCACAGTGCCAGGGCACACACGGAGGAAGCGTCTTAAGCAGGGTGTAGGCCCCCGAATGCTGCAGGGATGATGGCATCTTCCATCAATGCCATCACACTGCTTCTGTTTCTCCTGCTCCCTTCTGTGGCTTCCCATTGGGCAGCGTCATTTGTCCTTCGTTCTCGAAGAGGACCGTGACATCAGGAAGGTGATGCCATGACATGCGAGTGAATTGGGTGTAAGGGAGGGCGTGCAGTGCAGAGTCACCAGCCTCACTCTCCCCTCCAGAGCCATCTGGGTCCAGTGCTAAGACATAGATCAGGACGACTGGAGATAGCAGGAGATGTCGGGGGACCTTGGCCTTTTTAAGTGAAGGTCTTTAACAGGTCTCAATTTGATTGAGGCAACATCCATTCAGTGATTAAGGCTAGGGAAGAAGTGAGGCAAAGAATGGCCTCTTCACCTAGTCAAAAAAAAAAAAGTCAGTCTGGGAGGGGAAGGCCTTCAGGGTTTCTGGCCAAAACAGAAACAACTGCTGTTTACATTCACTCTGAGCCATCAGAGCCCAAACAGTGACCAAGTGGGTAGTCATTCCCTTGTTCTTTGTCTTTCACGTTTTTTTTTTTTCAATAATTAATATATTTTTAGTTTTCAACACTCACTTCCGTAAGATTTTGAGTTTTGAATTTTCTACCCTCCCCCCTCCCCAAGAAGCGAGCAGTCTGATATAGGCTCTATTTATACATTCATATTAAGCCTATTTGCACATTACTCGTGATGTAAAGAAGAATTAGAACCAATGGCAGGAACCATGAGAAAGAAGAAACAAAACAAAACAACAAAAGAAAAGGAGAGCAAATAGTCTGCTCCCATCTGCATTCAGACTCCATAGTTCTTTCTCTGGGTGTGGATAGCATTTTCCATTATGAGACTTTAGGAGATGTCTTAGATCCTTGCATTGCTGAGAAAGGCTAAGTCTATCGAAGTTAGTCATCGTGCAATATGGCTGCTACTGTGTACAGTGTTCTCCTGGTTCTGCTCATTTCACTCAGCATCAGTTCGTGTAAGTCTTTCTAGGTTTTTCTAAAGTCTGCCTGCTCATCATTTCTTTTTTTATTTTATTAGTATTATATACATATATGTCTATATATATATATTTTTTTTTTTTTTTTTTTGGGCTGGGCAGTGGGGTTAAGTGACTTGCCCAGGGTCACACAGCTAGTGAGTGTTATGTGTCTGAGGCTGGATTTGAACTCAGGTCCTCCTGAGTCTAGGGCCAGTGCTCTGTCCACCGCACCACGTAGCTGCCCCTCTGCTCATCATTTCTCATAGCACAATAGTATTCCATTACATGCATATACCACAACTTGTTCAGCCATTCCCCCATTGATGGACATTCCCTCAATTTCCAATTCTTTGCCACCACAGAAAGAGCTGCTATAAATTTTTGTCCATGTGGATCCTTTTCCTATTTGTGTGATCTCTTTGGGATACGGCCCTAGAAGTGCTATTGCTGGGTCATAGCCCCAAATTGCTCTCCAGAATGGCTGGATCATTTCACAACTCCTAAAAATCGTTTATTTCTTTAGAGCACAGAGACTTTTTCGTTCTTTTCAGTTCCAAATTCTTTCCCTCCCCCTCTCCCACCCCAATGAGAAGGAAAGAAAACAAACCCTATCACAAATACGTATAGTCGTGCAAAACAGGTTAGTCATGTTAAGAGCCTGTGTTCTGGTGGGGGAGGCATCATGCCTGGCTAAGGAGAGAGGGAGGCAGGCAGAGACTGTGGAACCCAGACCAGCCGAGCCAAAGGAGCCTTGGCCGGGAAGGCCTCAGGCAGACGTGGCGCTTCAGCTGAGTTTGGAGGAGCCGGGCTTCCAGGGGGAGATGAGCAGGGAGAGCGTGGTGGCCATCTGGTGAGGGAGGAAAGGGGGAAATGGAGGGGGCGAGGAGAGCTCCGGGGTCACTTCAAGACCTCGTGCAGCTGAAAAGCTGAGACGGGCCCCTGGGATTTTGGTGATCTGACTCCAGATTCGCAGATTCAGAGGGCAAGAAATAGAAGAGATTGTCTTGTCAGACCCTCTGAGGCCCAGAGATCACACAGCACAGAGGCAGTGATTGATAGTAGCACTTTGCCAGGCAGCACGGGATAGTGCCGGGAGAACGGGCCCTGGGCCACTCAGTGGCTATGCCTCCAGGCGGCTGCCTGGCCCGCTTGCTGCCTTCCACACCCCCTCTCTCTGCCAGCGACCTCTCCTCCCTCTGCTGCTGAGAGGCCACAGCACCTCGGGAGGTGGGGCAGAAGTGACTAATCCAGGCCTTGCTGACCCCCTGTCCCTCAGCTGGCCCTCCCAGCGTTCGCGTTTGCTCATTTCCTCTTCTCCTCTCCCACACCTGCAGGATCTTCATTATCTGGGCCATCAGCTGTTGGTTTCGTCGTGGGCCGGCGCCACAGGACCCAACCAGCCCTGGGGGAGCCCCCCGGGTGCCCAGCCGCAACCTCTTCCCAAAAGACACTTTAATGGTGAGAGTGTGGGGCGTGGGAGAGCAGTGGGGGGCCAGGCTGAGGACAAGCCGGTGGTGGACGTGGACAGCTGCAGGATGGCGGGGCCTCGTGCCTGCTTGGCACAGTTGCCTTAGCTGGGGAGGGTCAGGGAAGGGATCAGGCTCCGTTCCCCTGGTTTGGGGCAGGGCTCTTCCCTCTTCATCTCCCTCGAAGTTGGCCCTCAGAAGGTTGTGGAGGAACCTGGAGAATTTAGTTCAGTTCAACAAATCCTCATACTCATTGTGCCTGGCCTTGGGGTCAGAAGTACAGTCTCTGTCCTTAGATGGGCAGTGCCATTCCCGTGGCAAATACAGGACAGTTTGAGGAGGGAGACTGGTAGTAAGAGTGGAAAACTTCAGGGGGGTTAGGCAGAGAAGGCTCCCCGCAGGTGGGCCTGGGAAGGGAGGCCACACGGGTGTAGAGGCGCAGGACCCCCATAAAGGCCATGCTGCAGAGTTTGTGGGGGCTCAGACCTGCCCCTGTCAGCGGCGCAGGGAGAGGTGAGGAGGGCCCAGCCTGAGCAAGGTGGGAGCCTGGGAGGGGAGAGGAGGCCTGGGTCACTCCCTGAGAGTCAGGGAGACACACGAACCCGAGGGGTTGCGGACAACACTGGAGGGAAGGGCCTTTGCCCCCTCCATCCTCCTGTCCGTGGCTGGCCTGGGAAGAGCCCTCGATCTCCTCTTTGGCGCGTGGGGGGCAGAGAGGCTGGACCGAGGCCCTTCTCTCCACAGAACCTGCACGTGTACATCTCTGAGCATGAGCACTTTACAGACTTCAATACCACCTCAGCACTGTTCTGGGAGCAGCAGGACCTCATCTATGGGGACTGGACCAGCGGCGAGAACGCGGACGGCTGCTATGAGCACTATGCCGAGCTGGACATCCCGCCGGTGAGAGGGGGCCTAGTCATGGCCCTGCTCTTCCCTAGGTCTCAGTTTACCCACTCAGTTCAGTTCAGTAGATGCCTGCCTAGGAGGGGCAGAGAAGTGGCCGGACTGCATTGGAAGGAGAAACTCGGGTTCCTTGGGTGTTCCCTCACTAGTCACGTTGGAGACCCAGTCTCTGTCTCAGTAGAACACTTAAAGGTGGCCAAGCCCTATGTGCACGTGTCTGTGGTTGGATCTGGCCAAGTTAGGAGTGTTGATGAAGCTGCCAGCCATTGTGCTAAGGGATGGGGATACATTAGTAGGCAGAAGGAGTGCCCGGGGCGGCAAGGGGGCGCCACAGTGCACAGAACACTGGGCCCAGAGTCAGGAACACATCTCTCAGTTCAAATCTGGCCTCAGACACTTACTAGCTGGGTAACCCTGGACAAGTCACTGTACCCTGTTTGCCTCAATTTCCTCATCTGTAAAATGAGCTAGAGGGGAAATGGCAAACCACTCCAGCATCTCTGCCAAAAAAACCCCCAGACGGGGTCACGGCTGAACGGCTAAATAAAAGCAACAGAAAGGAGTGCCTTCCCTGAAGGAGCTCCCAGTCTGATGGAGGGGCAGTGTCTACAGACAGGGTCATTAACGGAGGGAACAGGAGAGGCTTCTTGTAGAAGGTGGGACTTCAGTGGGGCTGAAGGGAACCTGGGAGGACAGGGGGCCAAGAGAGGTCCAGGAAGGCGGCACAGCCAGGGCAAAAGAAAGGAGGGAGTAGGGTAGATGGTGGCTGGAACAGCCGGGAGGAGGCTGGAGTCACTGGATCCCAGGGTACGTTGGGGGTGTAAGGAGTAAGAAGATTGGAAAAGTGGGGGAAGGGGGCATAAAGGCTCACTCGGAACCAAAGAACAGACTTTGTCCTTGATCCCGGAGGTGGTAGGGAGCCACAGCAGTTGATAGAATGAGACCAGGGGTAACGGGGAAGGGGTCGAACCTCCGCTTTAGGAAGGTCAAATGACAGCTGAGTGGGGAGTGGGCTGGAGTCTGGGGAGACTTGGGCAGGGAGAACAGAGAGCAGGCTCCTGAAATGGTCCAGGCGTGGTGTGAGGAGGAGGAGCGGTCAGGGAGGTGGGGGGAGAGCCAGGAGAGAGGGACGGGGCAGCAAAAGGCCGCTGACTGGACAACCAAGAGCTCGCTGGTCAGTTGGGAGGGAGCAGCTCCTGTGGCATGATGGGATCAGGGGCTGGATGGCAGAGAAGAGGGGAGAAGGCAGCAGGTGACTGTAGGCACCTGGTGAAGGGAGTGAGAGACACGGGGCCACTGGGCATGTCTGGGAGCAGGAGGCAGGAGCCAGCAGGCAAACGAGTGGGAGGGGGGCTGAGGCTGCTTCTCAGCTGAGAGCAGGGGTGCCAGGGGAGCTGTGGGGGGCATGGGGAGGGGAGGGCGAGGCAGCGAGGCAGAGGCATGAGGCCGCACCACCACGACTTAGGTCTGGACCCTGTCAGTACAGCTGCATGGTCTTCTCCACCTTTGTTCAGCAATGCATGTAGGAGGGAAGGAGCCGAATGTTGAACTCGATCCCAGGCCGGGCTTTGGCTGGATGAGGGTCTCAGGTGCCAGGCCAGGGTAGAGAGGAGCTGGTTCACTGAGAGGTCAAGATAGGGAAGGGAGAATAGCGTAGCTAGGGTGGGATGAGGACCCTTAGGACTGGAGGCCCAGGCCAGGGCAAATATTAAGATGATGTGATACCTCACATCATATTAAGAAGGCACTTTACAAATCTTACCTCATTTGGTCCACCAGATAACCCTGCAAGGGAGTAGGTGCTGTTGTGATCTTCATTTTACAGATGAGGCAACTGAGGCCAGCAGAGGTTAAGTGACTTGCCCAGGGGCACACAACTAGTAAGTGTATGGGGTTAGATTTGAACTCAGGTCTTCTTGCCTCCAGCTTTGGTTTTGAGTGTGTGAGGGAGCAGTAGAATGACAGACGTTGTGATCAGATAACAGGGTCCAGGCTGAACTTCGAGGGGCACCTGCTCTGATGCAGTACCATTTCTGCCTCCAGGAAGTTCGTGATCAGTTGGTCCTGGGTCCCTCAGACTCAGGAAACCAAACAGCGGGGCTAAGGAGAGGGCACCGTGTAGGGGGCGATAGTGCTTTGGTTTGGGGGGGTCAGAGGGGCTCCTCAGAGGGCACAGGCCAGAGTTGAGCCTTAAAGGAAGAGGAGGTGATGGCCTGGGGGTCAGACTCCAGGCATGGTGTGTGGAGCCCGCTTGACCGCAAGGCAGAGGCTACAGCATGTGTGCCTGGAGGAAGGGAGGGGAGTTTGTGAACTAGGAGCAGTGGTGAGATCCCTGGAAGCTGGGGAGCTGGGGGGATCCTCCCCGTGACCGCGGACAGACTCCTTCCCCTCTCTGGCCTCCTGGAAAAGGATGGGCATGGACTTGGTGCCCTCGGGGCTTCTTTCCAGGTCAGCCTGTGATTCTGGAGTAGGGGGCCGCTGGGCCAGCAGAGAGAGCCCTGGCTGCGGGGGAGGTGAGAGTGGGAGCGTGTGTAAGAGATGGCTCCCGGCGTCAGGAGCCACGTCGGGCCCTTTAGGAACAGGGGATGAGAAAACTGGGCTTGAGCGTGGCCCCCGAGCCCCAGGCTCCTCCCAAGCCCATAGGCCTGCGTGGTCACGCCACACTAAGCATGTGGTGCTTCGGAGGAGGTCCAGCATTCGAGCCAGCAGTCTCTCTGCTCGGCTGTGCCGAGGGGGCTTCTCGGGCTCTTGTGAATAACACCAGTCAGGTTGGCTTGGCCTGGCCGGCCTGAAGAGGCACAGAGGCTGCGCTGAGCCTTGGGGGCCAGCGTGCCCCCATTTGTCATGGGGGTGGGCCGTGGCTGCAGAGCCTTGCAGGGTGCCCGGCACTGTGCTGTCCATCTCTCGTCCCCAAACTGAGCCAGAGTCCCGCCAGGCTTATCATCCCTGTTTTATAGGTGAAGACACAGGCTCAGATAGAGCAAGGGGCCTGCCCCATGACACCCAGCAAGGGACTGGGACCCTGACCCGGGGCTGCTGACGTCCAGTCTAGTAGAACCTGAAAGTGTGCGAGTGGGAGGAGGTGGTTCTGGGGGTTCTCATCACCTGCCCTCTGTCCGTCCCTTTCCAGAGTGTGCAGCAGAATGGCTCCATGTACATCCATGTGTACTTCACCAAGAGTGGCTTCCACCCAGACCCCAAACAGAAGGCTTTGTACAGGCGGCTGGCCACTGTGCATACGTCACGAAGTAAGGCCCCATCTGACCCGGCCCCCACACTCCTGACGGCCGAGCTGAGGGAATGCTGTCCTGGACCCCAGCACCCATCGGCTCCGACCTGGGTCAGGGCTGAGCCCCCGGCTGATGGGACAAACACCTTCCTCCTCCATCCGAAGAGAGAGCCCCGGCTGTGTCCTGGCAGGGGAGATGAGCCTCAGAAACCTCTAGCACAGCCCTGCTCAGGGTTGGGGAGCTGGAGGGGAAGTGGGCCAGTGCGCCCCGCTCTGAGAAGACTACTGGAGGGTGGCTCTGCTACTTGAGGGAAAGACCATGGGGCGCAGCTCAGTTCAGCTCATGTTTGTGGAGCAGTTGGTTGGGGTGGATGCTGACGTCAGGCACTGGAGGCCTTGAATGTCAGTCACGCCGAGGAGTTAGGATAGTACCCTGTGCATGAAGGGGAGCCAGGCTGTGGGGGAGGAGGGAAGGACCATGGGGCGGCTTCTGAAGGCTCCTCCCCTCACCATGAGGACAGGGTGGAAGAGGCTGGTGTTGGTGGGTGGACCCGAAGGATCCTTGGGAAGGCATCGGGCCTTCAGGAGCCCTGAAGGATTGGGGAGCAGAGCTGGGTACGGGGGGGAGAGGCTGCTAGGGGGTCACTGGGCCCCTCAGCTGTGCTGCAGACTGCGCATCCCACTGCCCTCACGCTCAGCTTCCTCTTCCCTCTCCTCCTCTTAGTGATCAACAAGTACAAACGGAGGCGATTTCAGAAGACCAAGAACCTGCTGACGGGCGAGACTGAAGCTGACCCAGAGATGATCAAGGTAATCAGGCTCCCAGCCCTTCCCCCGCTGTGCACAGCTCCCAGCCCTGGCCTTGCGTGGGCCAAGAGCGAGCAGCCGAGGAAGACCGAGGGACAGGGGGCTCGCCCCCTCCTGCCTCCTCTGCGCCTTGGCGTCCCTCTTTGTCACCTGCAGCCTCTGCTCTTCCTTCGGTCCTCTGGCCCATGAAGGACAAAGCAAATCCTTCTCGTCCGAGTCGGTACGTCTGCTGCCCAGAGCTGAGCTTGGTCTCCCAGCGTGTCTCTGGTCAGTCCTGGTGTCTGGAACTTCGGTCCCTGCTGGCTGACCCTCCTTTGGGGCGGGAGGCCATTTAGTGTGCTCCAGCCTCTGGGCCCCAGGAGCCGGCAGAGTCCCCGGCGTGCTCCTACCCCTCTTCTCTCCCTCCAAGGCCCGGGGCTCTGGGCTTCTCAGCCTGAGGAGGCGGAAGCCAGCTCAGTGCCGGGATGCCAGAGGAGCTTCCGGCCCTTCATGACTCTGAAGAGTTTTCATAAAGGGAAGTAAAGGCAGTGACACAGCGCTGTCCTTGGGCAGAGAAGAGAGCTAACCTCGGAGACAGAGAGAGGCAGAGACTGGGGACAGCTGCTTTGCTCCTCATTCAGCCAGAGACAAGGTTTATTCAAGTTCTGCCGTTTTGGCCAGACTCTTCAGGAATCGGAGCACTTGAGTGGAGACGAGATGGACCTTATATACCGAAAAACTATGGGAGGGATCTAGGAGTGGCCAGGTAGTCTGAGGGGGCTGTGAAGTGATAGATTGCCCAGGACCTGGACCACCAGGCCAAGGGAGAATGGAGCCTGGATAGGATTAAGAGTGGGAAGTGGCTGGGGCCATAGGGAGGGCTAGGAACCATTGGGAGATTGGGTGTAGGAACAGCCAGTTGATAGGATTATACTTTTGGGCCTAGGTAATGAGAAAGGCCTGTTGATGGGATACTTCACAGGCTTCCTTGATCAAGTAAGAGAATTCAGGGACAGTCCAAGGGTTTTCTAGGGCCTATAGACAAATGGGGACCAAATTAGGACAAACGTCTTTGGTTGGGCTAGTACCTCATCACTCCCCTGCCTCAGACGACTGGGACCCAGATTCTTTTTGGGATAAAGGGCAAAGGTCTCAGCTTCTGAAACTGCTTCCTGCTGGCAAGCGGCCCCGTTCCAAGGGTCGGACTTCAGAACATGGCTAGTGCCAGGTGCAGTGGGCTGGAGACCTTGGACTTGGTCGGAAGTTGGTATATGTCCTCAGAAGTTGATGGCTCTGAAGCTTCCAGTCGTGGCTGGAGAAGAGTTTGGGATTAGGGAGTCAGGACACCATATGTTGAGGTCTAAAGGTTTAGGGGTGCTGGGACCCCAAAATATCAAGAGCAAGAGATTCAGGTCTTGCCCTGAAAGAATTCGACCCAAGTCTTCTTTCAGCCAGAGACAAGGTTTATTTATTAAGGATCTGCCATATTGGCCAGACTCTTTCATCTGAACGTTTGTGAATTATTGGCTAGGTTTTTAAGGAATCTGAGCCTGCCCCTTATTCTTTTGTTTTGTTTTGTTTTGTTTTTTAATTTTTTATTAATTTATTTTGATTTATCAACAATCACTTCCACAAGCTTTTGAATTTAAAATTTTTCTCCCTCTCCCTCCCCAAGACGGCGCACAATCTGATAGAGGTTTTACATACAGAATCCTATTCAGCATATCTTCATATTAGTGATGTTGTAAGGAAGAGTTAGAACTAATAGGAGAAACCACAAGAAACAGGAAACAGAAGAAAAAATTAGCAAATCATATGCTTCGATCTGCATTCAGACTCCATAGTTCTTTCTCTGGATGTGGATAGCATTTTCCATTACGAGGCCTTTGGAGATGTCTTAGATACCTGCATTGCTGAGAAGGGCTAAGTCTATCAAAGTCAGTCATCGCGCAACGTGGCTGTTACTGGGTACAACGTTCTCCTGGTTCTGCTCACTTCACTCAGCATCAGTTCATATGTCTTTCCAGTTTTTTCTGAATTCCACCTGCTCATCATTTCTTTCTTTCCTTTTTTTTTTTTTTTTAAAGGCAGTGGGGGTTAAGTGACTTGCCCAGGGTCACACAGCTAGTGAGTGTTATGTGTCTGAGGCCAGATTTGAACTCAGGTCTTCCTGACTCCAGGGCTGCTGCTCTATCCACTGTGCCACCTAGCTGCCTCTCTGCTCGTCACTTCTTATAGCACAATAGTATTCCATTACGTTCATATACCACAAGTTGCTCAGCCATTCCCCAGTGGATGGGCATCCTCTCAATTTCCAATTCTTGGCCACCACAAAGAGCTGCTATAAATGTTTCTGTCCATGTGGGCCCTTTCCTGCCCCTTATTCTTAAGAGAGTGACCTGGGGACGCTGAAGTTCAGTGCCTGCTCCGGGGGAGACTTGCCCTCAGGTCTTCCTGGCTCTGAGGCCTGCTCGGTCTTCAATGCTGCGTGCTGCCGCTCCTATACAGATGTTCATAGTTATTATTACAGTTGGCGCTGGGGCACTGGGGAAGCACTGAAAGCTCTGGAGCCAGGAGGTGATAGGCTTTCAGAATAGCACTGGATTAGAGAGGGCAGAGGGTGCAGTCAAGGAAACGGGCTGAGGAGTCTGTTGAAGTGAGGAAGGGAGAGAGGAGAAGGAGGTTCTAGGTGGGCCATGGCCCTCGCATGTGTGTCTGATGACCCAGAGGGACCCTGTTCCAACTAAAGCAGAAGGAGGCCGAGCGTCCTGAAATACAGGGATCCAAAGATGAGCCAAGCATGTTGGTGACGTACTAGCAGGTCAAGGGGCGGGTCGGTGCAGAACCTGAAACAACTGGGAGATCAATAACTGTGACGTCTGTCAGGAGCGTTGCTAGTGCGACTAGGCTCTGTTGTTTACGTTAACAATGAAGAAAACTCTGAATTTCACTTAGAGGTTAGTACACGGAAAGACAGGTTTTTTCCCCGGTTAAGTTCATGGGCCCTCTGAAATCCCCCAGTAAGACTCACATCCTCCTCTCCCAGGTGAAGCAGACCTACTCTGGAGGTAGCATCAGTGGGACTTAGGAGTCCCTGGAGAGGGGGAGGGGTCAGAGACAACTCTGAGGTAGGAATGTGGATGACCAGGGAGGCTGCCAGAGGGGCAGCTGCAGGGGTGAGCCCAGGGGAACCTGAGATGGGCGCGGAGGGAGAGAGCTGGACAGTTGGATTATGGCCCGGGGAACCAGAAGAGAAGATGTGGAGACAGAGGCTCAGCACAGAGCCCTAGGGGCCCTGACGCTCCAGGGATGAGGGGAAACAGGCCACACGGGGGGGCTGCAGAGGAGGGAGGGTCAGATGCCGAGGAGGGCTAGCCAGGGGGCCAATGAGGGTGTGGTCACAGAGGGGCTTGGAGGGAAAAGGCCCTTGGCTCATGCCTTGCCAAGCTGCAGCCCTGAGTCACCACCTCCAGCTAAGGCCAGCCTGGGAACAAAGCCCCCAGCTGCGTAGGCCTCGTGCCCCTGCCTCGCTGCCTCGTGCCCCTGCCTCGCTGCCTCACCCTCCCCTCCCCATGCCCCCCACAGCTCCCCTGGCACCCCTGCTCTCAGCTGAGAAGCAGCCTCAGCCCCCCTCCCACTCGTCTGCCCGCTGGCTCCTGCCTCCTGCTCCCAGACATGCCCAGTGGCCCCATGTCTCTCACTCCCTTCACCAGGTGCCTACAGTCACCTGCTGCCTTCTCCCCTGTTCTCTGCCATCCAGCCCCTGATGCCATCATGCCACAGGAGCTGCTCCCTCCCAACTGACCAGTGAGCTCTTGGTTGTCCAGTCAGTGGCCTTTTGCTGCCCCGTCCCTCTCTCCTGGCTCTCCCCCCACCTCCCTGACCGCTCCTCCTCCTCATACCACGCCTGGACCATTTCAGGAGCCTGCTCTCTGTTCTCCCTGCCCCCAAGTCTCCCCAGACTCCAGCCCACCCCCCACTCAGTTAATTGTGACCACAAGGAAGGTCACTGCCTCCTCAGAGGCTGAAGCAGGGGGCAAGGAGGGGGAAAGGGGCAATACGTTTTGAAGGGCAGGGCAGAGGAGTCAGTTATCTGCCCAGGTGGTGATTGAAGGCTCAAGGAGAGAGGTTTGGAAGGACCACTGGGTAGGCCCCGGAAGGGAGTTTGTCAGAGGCTACTGAGGAGGAAAAGCCTCCTGGGCAGGGGCTAGGGCCCACGAATGGTAGCGCCCGCCGCTCCCATTTCTCTCACAAGGGCTTTGTGGAGTGTGAAGCACATGGTTCACTTGGGCTCTGCCCAGGAGGAATGGCCCAGCGTTGGGAACTGCTCTGGCACTTGGCGGAAGGGGCCACTGTGTGGCCTGGGCCTCCCTCCCGCTCAGTGGTCCCTGTGCTCTTGCCCCCACAGCGAGCGGAAGACTTTGGCCCTGTGGAGGTCATCTCGCATTGGCACCCCAACCTCACCATCAACATTGTGGATGACCACACACCTTGGGTGAAGGGCAGCGTGCCTCCACCACTGGACCAGTGTAAGCATCCCTCCTCCCATGGAGGCCCGCGGGCTCCCTCTGCCTGTCCTTTAAGGCAGCCCTGAAGCCGACATTCCCTTCACCCCCTCTCGTGGTTCCCGCTTCCACGTCGGCTGGGTTTCTTCTGCCGCCCCTGTCATTTCCCCGCGGCCGGCAGAGCCAGGGGGATGCTCTGGGGGCTTGGGAGATATGGGTCCCGCCTTTGTGACCCTGAGCAAGTCACTGCACCCCTCGGCGCTCCAGGCAGCTCCCTGGAGAAGGTGCCCAGCCATGTGCTAGTGGGCTTTTGCTCTGGGACTTGGCTGTAGCTGCCAGTGAAACCGGGGGTCCCAGGCCTCTCCCTTTTTGCGAGGCCTCTTCATTTTATCCTCAGGCCACTTGGCAGGGTGTGGAGCCCTGGCTTCTGGGGTTTGAGGCTGGCTTTGAGACTCCCCTCACCACTCACCTGCCTGTTTGGCCCGGGGGCGTGGGGCTGCCGCAGTGCCCAGGCCTTCCCTGACCGGCCCCGTCCTGTCCCCCTGCAGACGTGCAGTTTGATGCAGTGAGTGGGGATTACTACCCCATCATCTACTTCAATGACTACTGGAACCTGCAGAGGGACTACTACCCTATCAACGAGACGCTGGCCAGCCTGCCCCTACGCCTCTCCTTCTGCCCCCTGTCCCTGTGGCGCTGGCAGCTCTACGCGGCCCAGAGCACCCGCTCGCCCTGGAACTTCCTGGGAGAGGACCTGTACGAGCAGTCGGACGAGGAGCAGGATTCGGTCAAGGTGAACGTGCGGGGCCGGGGTCTCATCCTGGGGGGAGAGAGGCCAGGCCGGCTGACTGAGGAGGCTGCAGGACGGCCTGAGTTCAAGTCCAGCTGTGTGATGCTGGGCAAGTCACCCTGCCTCTTTGCCTCAGTTTCCCCCATGTAAAATGGGGATAACAACAGGGTTGTTCAGAAGATCAAATGACATATTTATAAAGTGCTTAGCACAGTGCCTAGCTCGTAGTAGGTGCTTAAGAAATGCTTGTTTCCTTCCCTTCCTCCCTCTCGTCCTCTTCTCCTCTACCAAATGAGAGGGGTTAGGGTGCCCTGATCCCGAAGCTGAGAGTCCTTCTGTTAAGTCTCTGATTGGAGGGCTGGGCCTGGGGGACACAGCCCGAGGTGCTTGGGTGGGGCCTGCTCCATTCTAGCTCCTCCTATCTCCTTTCCTCTCCTGTTTCCCCTTCCTCTCCCTCCTCCTCAGGTTTCCTCTCATTTCTCCTGACTTTTGTCGTGTCTGTCTGTCTCCTGGGCTCAGGGCCTGGGGCCCAGAGGAGTAGAAGCAGGGGTAGCTCCTCAGATTTCTTCCTGACAGTCCTGGTGGGGCAAGGGCCCTTCTCTTGCTGATGAGGAGCCCATGAGACAGTCCTGGAGAGCCCCAGAGAGGAAGAAATGGGAAGAGTCCTCAGTCCCATTGACCCTGTGTGTGTCACTGCCCTCCTAGGTGGCCCTTCTGGAGACCAACCCCTACCTGCTGGCCCTCACCATCATTGTCTCCATTGTACACAGCGTCTTCGAGTTCCTGGCCTTCAAGAATGGTAGGAGTCCTCTGGGGTGGGGCGGGGCTGCAGGCCAGGGACCCCCCCCCCCCCCCCCCCCAGAGACCCTCCAGCCTGGAGGAAGCCGCTGTCTGCACAACCCCTCAAAAAAGAGTGGGGTGGCTTCCCATCTAGCTGGAGATTGGTCAGGGCAGTCCCTGGAGGGTGGGGTGACAGGCGGGCACTTCCAGGCAGAGAGCAGACAAGACTCCACCCCCCACCAGGCGTCAGGGGATTAGGGAATCAGCTGCCTGAGCCAAGGGGAACTCCAGGGCCCTGGGTCTGACAGCAGAGGGCCCCAGCACCAGGGGGAGCCCCGGAGCTTCCATCCTGGAGGAGGGGACACGGGGCCCTGCTCCCGGGGAGCCCCAGGTCTGCCTCGGCCTTCTGGCGGCCTGAGCTGGTCAGGTGCCCCCCCCCAACCCCCTCCTCCGTCCTGGGCTCACAGACATCCAGTTTTGGAACAGCCGGCAGTCCCTGGAGGGCCTCTCGGTCCGCTCGGTCTTCTTCGGCGTGTTCCAGTCTCTCGTGGTCCTTCTCTATATCCTTGACAACGAGACAAACTTTGTGGTCCAGGTCAGCGTCTTCATCGGCGTCCTGATTGACCTGTGGAAGATAACCAAGGTCATGGATGTCCGGGTAAGGCTCCCTGCTGTGCTGGGGAGAGTGCTGACCCCAACTCCTAGCCCTGCCCCCCCCCTGACAACCCCCCCCCCCCCGGGCGCGCCCCGCCCCCCCCCCCCCCCCCCCCCCCCCCCGGGGGGCGCTCAGACCCCCAACTCCCAGACACACCCCCCGACTCTCAGACCCCAACTCCCAGACACCCCTCCCCTGACTC